ACTGGGTGATCTCTAGAGGTCCCTTCCACCCTGATTCTGAGGCTCCAAAGAAACCTTCCTGGGGCCTTTCTGTATGTGAAGGGTGCTTGTAAGAAAGATACATTAAGACTTTTTACCAGGGCCTGTGGTGAGAGGACACGGGGCAGCGGTTTAAGAGAGAAAATAGGTTTAGATGGAATGCTCCATCCCGAGTTCCCCTCTCCTCTGAGACCCCCTGTGGGAGGAAAGTAAAATGCCCCTGTGCTTACCCTATTTCACATGTGCATCTGTGGAGCTTAAGAAATGTGTTGCGTGTTTGTGCGCTTGGGGCCCTGAACGTTCATGTAGGTTGTGCACCTCACAGGCCTCTACAGCTGATAATTAATCTTGCAGTCCATTTATTTTAGTGTCAGAGACCCAGAGCCAGAGGTGGAAAGCCTTTTGGTCTTTAAGAGCTACTTCCTTCTCTGAGTCCTGTTCGAGTAAAGAAACTCCATCGTTTTCCAGTTATCGCTGGAGGGGATTATTTGGATTGCATTTTGCTGCTCTGTTCTCAACTTACTGGTTTGCAGTCAATTTCTGCTTGAAACTTAAAATTTCGTTGACTTCCAAAGATCTCTTTTTCTCCTTTCCCTATGTCTTTTTCCAACAGCCTCTTGAACTTACACGAAAAATCCTCCGAGATAAACTGAAAAAGAAGAATTCTGGTCAGCCCATTCCAGTATTTCCATCCTGGGTATATGAGAGACCTGCGCTTATTGGTGATTTCTTAATTGGCACCGGTTTAAGCACTGACACAACAGTACCTATAGGTATGTCATATGCAGGGAAAATGACATGAACTTTTTTGTTTTTGCCACTCAGATTCTGCAACACTCGGCGTGAAAGCAAAATTTGGCTCATTGCAGTCTGCACATGAAGAGTGGAGTTAAAAGAAAAAAATAACCTTAAAGCTATGTAGTTCTCGGTGTTTCTCCTATGCTGAATTCCAGCCCTGCTGTTGATCCATGGGATCTAATCTATTTTGAGTTTCCCAGTCCTTTTTCTCTCTTGAGTCACAGCCTTCATAAAAGCTTTCTGTAGGAGTATCCCATCTGTATTGTCAGCTGAAAAATCTGTAGTTGCACCTGACAAGGGAGTATTCATCATTCCACCCAGCTTAATACTGGAAAGCTCCAGTAAGGCTAGACCAGCCCCCCTGATTTACTGTCGCTCTCCTTGCAGGAGCAGTAAGGGACTAATCTGCCCGTTGTGTTCTAGCTTTAGGCTGAACTGTACTTAGTTCTCATGCAGTCTTCATAAATTAAGTACTTTTTTTTTGGAATAGAACAGCTGAATTGGAAACTGGGGTTTCCATTCCCTAGAACTGTGGAGGCTCCTAGAAGAAACTTGTAGCTTCTTCTTGGTGTTTATTTGGGCTGTGCGGACATGAAAGCTGTAGGCTCATTCCTGGAGATGCTCTTCAACAGCTTGTACACCAGTGCGTTTCTGCTGGGGCCTCTTGGGGTGTGCTGTGAGAGTATCTTCCTAGCAAGCTCAGAACCCTGTGTTCTCTGACGTACAATCCTGCAGATGGAGAGGGTTGTTGCCTCGTTTCATGAAATCAGCTTTGCTGTAGTGAGTGGTGTAACCACTCTGTTCCCTGATCTTATGATGCGCGTGGATTCTATTTTGGGTTGAGTCCTTTGTGATGCTTTACAGCTGGTTTGCAGTTGACTGCGCCCTTCAGAGACCCTATGGTTTGCAGTTCACCTGCAGCTTTTGCTGCACTGGCGTTTCTTTGCATCCACATTTGAACTATTTCCGTGATAATTTAATATTTTGGTGGAAGGGAGGTAGGGGGAATTGTTGACAAGATTGGAGCTCCTTGGATGCGGTATAACCCAGCCCTTTTGAGTGGCAGGATCAGGAGCACAAACTGTGGGCGATGTTCTTTTGGCCACAGATGCCCTGTTTACTTGGTTTGCCGTGGGTGTAAATGAGCAAAGGATTCTGGTCCCTTGGAAAGCAAAATAGGCGCTTTTGGAGTTGACCCTAACTTTGATTTCTCTGTATCTTGATTCAACTTTGTGTGATCTTTTTTGTTCTGTTTGAGCGGTAGCATGTTTTCCTTTCAAGCTTCAGGTACTAGGTTGAAATGATATGTTCTAATTGTGGTTTGTTGTTGGGTTTGGGGTTTTTTTGTCTTCTCTTTGAAAACAGGTACTTTGCCGTTAGCCTCCCAAGAATCCATGATTGTGGAAGACTTACTCTACGTTCTCATTGGTGTGGATGGAAGATATATCACAGCACAGCCTCTCGTAGGCAGGCAGAACCGAGGGTTTTCAGTTGATCCAAACTTGGACTTGTCCATCAAAGAGCTGGTAACCAGGATTCTTCCTGTAGCAGCAAGTTACTCTGCTGTCACCAGGTATCAAGCTGACTTTTGTCGGAGGAAGATGCTCTCCTTTAAGCATCAGGTTGTAGACTAGAGAATCTGTCATTGTGCATGTGTACCTTCCAAGCTTAATTTATGAGCATATGAAATAACTATTTCTTTGAATTGGTTTTTGCTGGGTTTCTCCTCTGTGCTGCCAGTTCACTTCCTCGTTTGTCTCACCTTTGCTTTATCCAGACTTGATCTCAGTATGTTTGGACAAAGTACAAATATCATAGAATCACACAGAATCCTAGAATGGCCTAAGCTGGAAGGGACCTTAGAGGTCATTTTAATCCAGCCTCCCTGCCGCCAGGGACGCCACCTCTCAACTAGATCAGGCAACACATGGGGACCGAACGGGAATTTAGGATATGTGTGCTTATTCTGGCTTGTCTCTTCCCGCTCTGCTGTGAATTTCTCCGTATTTTCTGGTTTTTTTGCTTTCGTCTGGGCATCCAGGACTGAGGCAACTTTTGTGTGCTTCTGAGCAGGAGTACCTACTGCCACCTAGTTTGTAGTAGCTACCTTAGGTGTAATTGTTGAGAGGTCTTAACATGAGGTACGCCTCCCTAACAGCAGGTGTTTGTTAGTGCAGAGGTCTGCATTTGAATCAAAGTCCCTAAAAGATCAGCAAAGAGGAAGAAGCATTTTTAAGATGTGATTCATCCAGTCTTTTACCTGTCTCCTTCTGGATGATGTGACTTGTGTTCAGGAGCATCCCTCTGTCTCCACTGACGCGTGTGGAGCCACCTTAATCCGGTCAGATGAATCCCTGCTGTGACATGTGATGTCAGAAGCTATCAACAGTGCTTTCCCCACATGTCTGGGTGCACATTGCTTCTAACCCTAACCCTGTCCTCTAATCCGGTGCTTGCTCACTTTGAAAATCCCAGCTCTCGCTTTTTACGCAGTGGTTTTGCAGGTGGTTCTAGTTCCCCTATGATCTGAGGAGAAACGTCTTCTCACAGCTCTCCATCCTAGGAGATGTGGTGGGAAATAGGCAGGGGGACACGGAGCCTGAAACTCCAGCTGAAGGCTGGTGTGCTTTCCAACACGTGATCTACTCATGTGCTTGTGCAGTGTCCTCAAGGTAATATTCCTGAAAATGACAGAGGATGCCTTGCCTGAAAGCGTTTCCATTTTGCTTTTCTTTTTTTTTTTTTTCTTTTTTTAGATTTATAGAGGAGAAGTCTTCCTTTGAGTATGGACAGGTAAATCATGCTCTGGCTGCAGCTATGCGGACTCTAATCAAGGAATACATGATACTGATTACCCAACTGGAACATCTTCAGAGACAGGGACTTCTGTCACTGCAGAAACTCTGGTTTTATATCCAGCCCACAATGAGGACCCTAGAGATTCTTGCTTCACTTGGTGAGTTTCAGAAACGCAGTCATTACATTTTGACAGGTGTGTGACAGTGGCTTCTGAAAACCGCACAGAGTAAGAATACAGGCAAGGCATGTGTCATTTTAATTTGATGTTATACTGAGGGAGAAAGCCAGGGGGGATTGTACTTGTCAGACACCGCTCTCTTTTTGGGAGCGGTGGGCTCTGGGGCCGAATCTGTCCTTCAGAGCTGTTGTGAGGGAAGTTCATGCATTTTACCTTCACAAACCATGTCCTTTGGGTCAGTTGTTCCCACTGCTGCTGTCTCTCCTCAGCTTTTTTCCAAATGCCTGTCCAGCTGTGTGCGGATCTATAACCCCAAACTAATTCAACCAGAAGGAACCTCTGGTAGTTTTTAGTCCAGCCCTTTGCTCACAGCTACAGTGGGTTGCTCAGGGCCATGTCCAGATGAGTCTGGACAGTTGCCAGCAGTGGAGATCCCCCACCACTCTGGGCTGTTTCCAGTGACTTCACCAGCCTTGTTGTGAACTTCTCTTTCTTTATCTCCAACTGGAATTACCCTTCTTGTAACTTCTGCCCTTTTGATATCGTCACTGCCCTCCTCAAAGAGGAGCCTCATACCATTTGCAGAACCAGATGTTGGGTGGTTGGAATGATGTTCCACAACCCCCAGCTTCACTTTCTCTTCTCTTGACTAAAAAGCCCAGCTTCCCGAGGCTCTCCTTGTTTGTGCTGGGCATCAGGCCCCCACCATCTTAATAATTCACGGTGGTCATCTAATCAACCGCTAACTTCATTACGTTGAACAGAAGAGCAATTAATTTGTGTCAGCTTTGTGTCTTACATCCGTATTTTTCAATTTCAGCTACTTCTGTGGATAAAGGTGAGTGTATGGGAGGCTCCACCCTGAGCTTACTCCACGACAAGACTTTCAATTACACGGGGGACAGCCAGGCCCAGGAGCTGTGCCTGTATTTAACCAAGGCAGCCAGCGTGCCTTATTTTGAAATTCTGGAAAAGTGGATATATCGAGGCATCATCAACGATCCGTACAGGTAAAGACCAGTTAAGGAATGAAAAGGAAATGCATACATTAAGAAATACTGCTTGGGTCTTTGGCTTCTACTTTTTTTTTTTTTAGTGCACCTGTCCATCTGCTCTGTAGAGTCTTGTTTTATTTTTCCAAATTCAGGGAAATTACATGCCAGAGGTAATAACACAACAGTTCAAATATACATTCCACTCAAATTCTACCTTACCGTGCCTGTCCCCCTTTAAATATTGTCCTTTTGCATCCTCATCCTCTTCATGACAGAGAACTCGGTGAATCCGTGTTAAATGCAGTCCACTGACATTCTAATCTGATGTGAGCCAGCAGCACCCTCTGAAGTTTCTCGAAGCATTTAGCTGTGTATAATAGTTTATACAACATTTCTCTTTCCCACATTTTCAGAATGCTGAGAGGAGCAAAACTCCAGCTAAAATTAATGCCTTCCTGATGGTGAGAAGGCAGAAAAAGGCCAGCTTCCTGATCTCTACACTGACAGCCAAATAACGTTTAGACTTGGTTTGTGAACCCTATAAAATTCTGTTTCTGTTATCATTGGTTGCAGATTGGCAGAAACCCTCTGCATAATGCTCCTCCTCTTACTACAGCTCTTGATTGGAACATATTTTCACGAGACTTTGTTTCTGAGAGCCTATATTACCAGTTTACAGGTCAAAAAAATTAATCCTCATTGTACCACTTCCTGCTTCTAAACATCTGCTTTAACTGATCAGTGAGTTCATGGTGGAGGAACATGAGCTGCAGAAGGAGAAAATTCAAGAGGACTATAACGACAAGTATTGGGATCAAAGATACACTGTTGTTCAGCAACAAATTCCCTCATTCTTGCAGAAAATGGCTGACAAAATACTAAGCACGGGTACGTAATGTGTGGGGTTTGTGTGAGAGGAATCTTGAGATGAACATTGCCATTCTTTGTGTAAAGAGAAGGTAAATCTGCTCTGCTAGTTTACGGGGTTGTCCAGCTGAACTTCTCGGAAGACTAGAAGAACTAGATTTTAAAAATGCCACAAATCCTCTAACTAAAACAATGCATGGGAGGGAGTCTGGCGGCAAGGGGAGCTGTCTGTCTCCCAGCTTTGTTTCATGGGTACAGTTTTTTAGCAGCTAGCTAGGTGGAGCTGGACAGCTGAGGTTTGAACGTGCCTGAGTTTTTAATTTGGTGTTTAGATGAAGAGTGCAACCTGGTGGCTGCCGTTGTCCTCTCCCGTAAGTACGAAACACTCCAAAAGCTACTTCTGGGGTGTAGTCCTAGATCTTTAAAATTTCTGGCTGCCTGCAGAGATGTTTTGCCACCACTGGGGAACAAAACCATTTCTAAATCTCTCTTGAAATGTGATTCTAGGTGGCTGAGCCTTCCCAGCTGTCAATAGAACTTAGCGTAAACGTTTCAATCTTCCTCTCGAAGGGAGTCGTCTGAAAGTTTCTCTGGTGGATGTGCAGTAGGTGTGGATATGGGTCATCCTTTCTTTTTGCTTCTAGGAAAGTACTTAAATGTTGTGCGAGAATGCGGACGTGATGTTACCTGCCCTGTGGCTAAAGAGGTCATCTATACTTTAAAAGAGCGAGCATATGTGGAACAAATAGAAAAAGCATATAACTACGCTAGCAAAGTTCTTCTGGATTTCCTAATGGAGGAGAAAGAGCTGGTGGCTCACCTGAGGTTTGATTCATTTTACTAAATGCATGTTAAATAGATTGGTTCCTATAGCCTATAGCTAGTATATTCTCTCTATTTCCATTAGAAAGGTTGACGTGAAAAAATAAGATTTGGGTTTCTCCCTGATAAGAAAAAAAGTGTAAAACTGTAGAAAAGTTGGATGGGAAGGATACCTGCAGGTCTCTACTCCAATGTCCTTGGAAGGCTGTTGCCAAAACTAGGTCAGGGCAGTCCTGGCTTTGTCTAGCCCAGACCCCAAACCTGCTCTCAGGTATGGTCATCCCCCACTCTCATTGCTTGTCCCATGGCTGCACGTCCTTCCCACTCGGGAAAAGAGTTTCCTAGTATCAGCTGGTATGATCAGGAAGCGTTTAATGTAAATAGGAAACAGTTTGATATTAAGCGTCTCACCAAATATATGCCATGGTTATTGTTCCTGCAGACATAGGTGGTTGGAACAAAGTGATTGGCTCAAAGTTCCAGTGCGGGGTTTTTCTTCACAGTGTCCTTTTATAAAGTTAGTTTTAATATCCTTTATTTTGATTCTCATAACACGTTCAGCCAACAGCAAATTCTTTCTGCGAGCAAACTCCAGCTTCCTTGTGTGAATCAAGCTTTAAATTTATTACTATCTTCAGCAAACAGTAAATCCAGGAACCTTAACTATCCGGAAGACTAAGACAGCAACAAAGAGGTAGCAAATTGCAGTTGATGACTGGTTGTGAGATAGTTTGTAGTTGGCCTGAGACTTGGCACCAGAGATCCTGCTTCAGACCGGTGACACGGTGTGGAAGACAGAAGCCTGAGCTTTGTGGGACAAACCTGCCAAGTGACTTGCGCAGTAAGAGACATAAGCTGGAGCAGCAATGGCAACTGAAGTGAGCATGCCTGACAGGATTGCTTTGGGTCTGCTTTTTACTAGGTCTGGAAAAGTTGTAGCTGCACCGAAAGTGTCTGCTCCAGACCTGGGACCGCTAGAGCTTCAGCTCAGAGAGATTGTGGGCAGACCTGAAGGTCTGTACTTGAAAACCGCCAGAGAGTGTACTTTGTTTTGTGAAAGGTTATGAGAGCTGTCTGAAACCTGACGGCTGTTACCAAGAGTCTTCCCAGTCTAGCACTGTCGTCCCTCCAAGCCTTCTTTGCTTAACAGGACTGTCCAGAAGACATCAGCTTCCACGGCCCAGGTCCTCTGTCGGTCCCAGCTATCCCGATGTAGCTGCAGATCGAGGTGTTGCTCAGCTGAGGCTGATGTCTGTGACCTCCTCATCTTTAAAACAGCTCTCTGCTAGGTCATTCCGCAGCTGTCCTGCGCGCCTGCCGGGGTGCAAGTGCAAAGGCAGCTGGTTGAGGAGGAAGCTACCGAGCTGCCAGCACGTGTATGTGCTCTGAGGGCCAAAGTGGGGTGGTTGTGATCAAATCCTGGGCACTTGTGACAGATAACCACTCCTCAGTTAAGTTGGAAGTATTCACTCTCTCCACCGTCCCAGAAACGTTGGTTAGAAGGAGCCAACAACCTCGGCAGGTCTCTAATTCAACCTCCGGCTTTTGAAGTAGGATTGTTGACAGCATTTGCTCAGGTTTTTACTTGGTTTTTCTCTCTGGGGTGTGTCAGCAGTAACTGTCTTCCTCCCTTACCTGTTGTGCCCTCAGTTCCGCCGTGACACTGTCACGGCTTCCTCACGACTGGGGGATTTTTCTTGGTTCGAGAGAGTAGTGACAGTCAGGGAAACGGAGGCTGAGCATCATGCCAAAGTGACAGATCAGGAGCCTACAACTGCATTGTATTAAGGCTCTGCTGGTTCTGGTTTTGCTCTGAAAACTGCAGTTATTACACGTGATCTTTGGCCACCTGCTAAATTAATCCGCAGACTCTCCTCTAAGCTACTGCAAGCTCCTGGCCCACGGCAGTTAAATCTCCCTGGTGGCAAATGAAGATTGGAGTTTGTGTGTCCTCCTATAGCAGAAGTCAACGCAAGTACCTGGAGTAGTTAAAAAATCAGCACAGATGTTCATTCAAAGCAGTCCAAGAGTCTGCTCTGACTTGGCCGCTGCCTCTTGGATGGGCCCACATGCCGTGGAGGTTGAGGTGTTGTTCTGGGTAGCAGTATGAGCCTGCACCCCACAGTGCAATACATACTTTTTTTTTTTTTTTAATGGTGATGCGTTTTTAAAGGAAACAAAGAACAGCAGCAGCCCTGCTCTGACTGCACAAAAGCGTCCTGACAGAGGTGGAAGGAGGAGACAACATGCATGAAACACTGGTCTCCAAACGGATTATTTACGGCTGTGTGTAGTGTGTGAGCAGGAACGTTTTGTGATCAAGCCCAGCAGGCTGGCTGAATTGGTTGCTTTTGTTCCTTTAGGTTTAATATGGTCTAATTTACGCTTCAAAAAACCATAATCAATTGTACCTCCGTTTTCCTGAGCAGGTCTATAAAACACTATTTCCTGATGGATCAAGGGGACTTTTTTGTTCACTTCATGGATCTCACAGAAGAGGAGCTTAAGAAGCCTGTGGACGACATCGTAACTACAAGACTAGAGGCTCTGCTTGAATTAGCCCTGCGAATGAGCACAGCCAACACGGATCCTTTCAAGGACGATTTAAAGGTAAGAACAGGTCTAAGCAGAAGATAACTGAGTTTGAGCAGAAGACCTGCCATGGTTTGGGAAGATCTGTGGTCCTGTAAGAACCTGCAGGATGTACAGTGAAAGAAGAGAGAACTGATGGCTGTCCTTCTTCAGACCTTCTCTGGGTTAGGTCTTTTATCCAAATTAGCAACTGGAAGCACCCACACTGGGCAAGGGGCTACGTTTTCTTGCTAGTGTCCAACCATGGAGAATGTGCTTTTGTGTGGCCTCAGGAGGAGGTGGAAGCAGTAGTGAGCCTTGCATGCTTATTCTCAGCTTGGGTGCTCACAATGGAGTACAAGAAAATACCTGACTAGAAATACTGCCTGTAGATGATTGCGTACTTCACAGATGTGAAGCAGCACAGAAACTGTGCCTGGAGATTATGAGATCTGACTGGACCTTATGCAGGCCAAGGGGAAGGGAAAACTTCCTTTCATCTAATCTAAATCTACTCTCTTTCAGTTTAAAGCCGTTACCCTTTGTCCTATCACTACCTGCCCTTGTAAAAAGTTCCTCCGCTTCTTTCCTGTAGCTCCCTTTGAGCACTGGCAGGCCCCTCTGAGGTCTCCCTGCAGCCTTCTCTTCTCTAGGCTGAACAATTCCAACTTGCTCAGCTTGTCCTTGCCCTGATCTGGTGCCCCTTCTGCCCTGGTGAGACCACATCTGGAATCCT